CCAGGGGCAGGGCTGGGCTGCGGCTCCTGTCAATACAGCCTCGGAGGATGGGGAGAGGCAGGCGGTGCAGGTGGGGTGTACAGCAGCCCCTTGCCGGGGGCTCCCCCGCTGAGCTGTTGGTTCTCCCAGATTGTCCACAGGAACCGTGGCTCTGGGGTCTGTCCCTGCCACATCAGTGCGTCCTGTTACTGACTTGAGGACACAGGAGACAAAAGATGAGGTGGCCGAATGCCCCTGGACCAGGACAAGGGGAGGCTGAGCAGACCCCTCTTCTGAGCCCCACACGCAGCCAAGTGTCTGGTCACTGAGCCCTCCCTCCTTATCTGCCTGCCACCCTGGACACCCCCAGCCCCGCCTGCCAGCCCTGACAAGGCAGAGGGAGGAGAGGTTTATGGCCCCAGCTTTGAGAAGAAAACGTGAGTGGGCTCCCAGCCCCGCTGCGTGAGCTAATTGATTCCAGTGGAGTCGCTAAGATGCATCCCCTAAGCAACTCAGTAGATTCACACAAGACCGCAAGAGGCAGGACCCCCTCGCCGGGGGCCGTCACACCGAACCCTCCTGGTCTAGCAAAATTGGAAGCAGCTGTATGTCACTTGGTACACGCATGTGTTTAAGTGAAAGCCTTTTCAAGTCTCTCTGGCTCAGAAAATGTAAAGCTAATCAGAGCTGCCCCATCAATTGAAATCTTGCGTAGTACCCAGCTGGCAGCATTTTTTACATTTTATTTTTCCAAAATATAGCAACACAATGACCTTGACGTCGAGGTCAACTGGTTTTCTTTGTCCCTCTGTTTGGTGTCCAGAAGCAGGCGATGGCTCCGAGCTCATTCTGATGAGTCTGCAGCTCAGTGTGATTCCACCCGTGGCGGGCTTTTCAGAGTTTTCCTGGAAACCAGAGGCCCAGGCCCCTCAAACAGCACCCCGAATGACTAAGCAGACTCCCCAGATCCCCAGACATGAGCCCTGCAAACCCTGTGCTGCTAGAAGCTCCTGACTCCACGGGCCCAGAGGAACAGTGCTCTCCGGCCCTTCGCACAGCTCGGCCTGGAGGGAAGAGCCGGCTAACGGGAGTGGGGGTCTCCAGTGAGGAGGGAGGGATGGACTCACTCTGCACAGAGCCCCACATCACCAGAGGAGGAGCTCCCATGGCCCCTCGCCCCCAGGCCATGTCCTGCTGTCCGCTTGCTCTCTGCCCCCCGGTCTCACTAGCCCCCTTGCTCTGCTGGGTCTACAAACCCCTTCCTCCAGTTAAACTTCCAAGCAGCCCCCTCCCCAAGTTCCTCTCCCCCTCCGCTGTCCTCTTCTGCGGAGCACGCATGGCCAGCTGCAAACTCTGTATGTTAATTACTCACCTTCGCATGCTGCGTTTCATTCGCTGCCATCCCAACGCCTAGAATGGTGCTGGCTACATGTTTGAATGAATGAATGAACTCTGAGCCCATTAATCCTCGTACAATGCAGTAACTGCTCCCTGGGGGGAGGTTTCAGTCCCTGAGCTGTTGGCAGGAGTGAGGGACCTTCGGGAAGACGTGTGTACCAGAGCTGGCCTTCTCCTAAGCAAGGTGTCGGTGAGCGGCAAACACAGCCTAACATCTGGGTTCTGACTGTGTATTCAGAACGTTCATTTGCCCGAGAGGGAACCAGGATCCGAGAAGCTGAGGCCTCTTCCTCCCCTTGAGAGCAGATCAGCCTCTCTGGCCGTAGGGACAGCCGCCAGCCGGATGTCAGGGTGGCCTGGAGGCAGGATGTGGAGGTGTTTTGAGATTCCTGACATTAAAATGAGAGAGAGGTGGAACCCTCTAGAACAGAACGGAAAAAGAATACACCTGTGTGGGAGGGTGACTTGATGGTCTCTGCGTTTTGCTTATTCAATTCTTTATGCATTAATGGAAATTAGATAGGACAAGCCATTCAGCCCCTGTCCCCAACTGGCCAGAGTCATGTACCCTACACCTGCTGGGCTGAAGGACACGTGAGGGCATCGCTCCCGACAGGACACTCAGCCCAGGACAGGCTCCAGGGCGCCCTTGGCCCTTGTAGCCTTCACCCGCGTGTGCCACCTCCCTGTGGCCTGTGCACCCCGTGCCTGCCTTCGCTCCATGTCACGTGTCCGTGCTTCCCTCTGTCCAAACCCCCCGTGTTCCCCCCTCAGGCCCTTTTGTTCCTTCGAGGGCAGCTGTGGCATGGAGAAAATGAGCCTGACTAACACGACACCCCTGGACGATGGGGCATGGACCCCAAGTCCGGGAGAGTGGAGGACCTCACTCAGCAGAAGGGTCGGGGGTCCCTGTGCCGCCCTCCAGACCTGGGACCCAAGGAAAGGCAGGGAACCCAGAGCCTTCCCTGAGATGAGCTCCCCCGGCTGACTGTAATTAGCACAGCAGCAGCGGGGGCTTCAGAGGAGGGAGGAAAGGCAAAGACTTGGTGCGGGGGGACAGCCAGCTAGCTCGGAAGACGGCTCCCTGGTCCTGCGGGGGAACCGTGCGGAGGACGGAGCCCAGGAAGGGCTGCTGGCCTCTCTCTGGCTGCCTCGTGTTTGTCTACGCAGCCATGTTTGCAGTCCCTAAAGCCGATCCTAAGTTCCTGTAGGATTTCACGGAAAGGGTGCGGGAGCGGGGCTGTCCGCGCGGGCAGAGGGTGAGAAGACACTCGAACCGTGGAAGTCCAGTTCTCTCTGAGGCCGGGGCGGCGCCGGGGCCGGCACTGGGTGTGCGTGGGGCTCTCTGCCCCTCCTCGGGGCGTGGGGTGGGGGGTCCCTGTCTGGCCGAGAGGGTTCTCAGTGACTAACAAAGGCAAAGGGATTCAACCTGTGGGAGGGCCCGACGCGCGCACCTCCGCGGGCTCTCACTGTCCGCTCTCCGCAGGGGCAGAGGCCTTCTCCTTCAAGTACAGCCCGGGGAAGCTGCGGGGGAACCAGTACAAGAAGATGATGACCAAAGAGGAGCTGGAGGAGGAACAGAGGTAGGCGCCCCGCTTCCTCCAGCCAGCTCGGCTTTCTGCTGGACCGTCACCCTGCACCCTACATCCAGGAGGCCGGCCCCCTGCAAGCTACACGCCCCCTACCCCCGTCCCCGACCATGTTCCACTTTCATTTTAAGGGTTCTTTCCTGTCCTGACGATCTTCAGCCAGGCTCGTATCCCCTGGAGACCGTCCCCTTGGGGACGGTGGGGGGAGGGGAGCCGAGCCCATTCCTTGCACCCCCTCCCCTCCCCCCACCGAAAAGAGAAAAGACAAAAGCGAGATGCCAGGGAAGAGCCCGGCGCAGATCCGGCTGTTCACTTACACGCCGAGTCCATGACGAAGCCAACCTGTCACCGCGCGGCACAGCGCGGTTCCTCCTGCTCCTCCGTCCCGCATCCGCGCCCGCGGTCGCTTCTCCTCAGCTCTGCTCCGCGGAGCTCTGAGGCCACGGCCGCGGCGCAGCTGCCCATTTGCAGAACTGGGCTGGTCGCCACCCAGCCGGCACCCACTGCACACGAGTCCCCTCCGTGCATCCCGAGCTCCCGCCAGCCCGCCAGCTCGGGAGAGGCTCGGGAGAGACCCGGTCTGCCCCGGAGCCCAGCCGTCCCCGCGCATGCGCACGGGCGGCCCGCGGCCTGGGCTCCTTGGGTTCAAGCAGAAGTCTGAACCCCAGCGGTGCGCTCCAGCACCCAGGGAGGCACGGAGGGCCTATGATTCCAGAACGCAGGGCCCAGGCACCCTTTCATTACCCTCACCACGCCCCCCAGTGGCCCTCAAAAGTCAGAAGCCACTTTGCCCACGCGTACCCCGTTTCCCCTCCCGGAGCTGCGGCCCCGATGCCCGCCACCCGGGGGGCCCGGGGAGGAGTGGCAGGGCAGTGTGAGCCCGGGGAGGGAGACCCCAGCAGGGGAAGGCGGCCCCTGGGGGACCCCACCGCCGCCCCCCACCCCCGCGATGACGCTGCCTCTGCTGTGACCCGCTTCGCTGCCTTTATATTTCAGGATTGAGCTGACCTCTGACCTCACTTCCCTGTAGCAAGTTCCTTAGGTCCTGAGCCACAAATATTCTTGCAAATCCTTTTGGTAAGGAGATTGGCTTCTTAGCCTAGCGGCGCTCCCCTCATCCTGTCTGTTACTGTGTCCCCAACACGACCGACGTGGTCTAAACCTCCCCTCCCTCGCCGCCTTCATAACCAACACACACTTCTGTGCACCGAGCCTCTCATTCTTCGCCGCCGCGGGGAACGCGGGGTGAACGGGCCCCTCTCCCGGCCGCCACGTTCTCAGAGGCAAGTCCCTGGTGCTGGGGGCCAGCGCCCTCTTGCGAGGCCGAGGGAGAACTGCCCTCCCGGGGCTGCGGGCGCGCGCACGGTGCCACCGCTCCCGCTTCGGTCCTACCCTAGGAACCGACGCCGCTTAGGGAACAGTGCCCGGCAGGATCCCGTGCCCCCCGGAGGTGGGACAGGCAGGTGTTTATGATCAGAGCGAGGGGCGGCCGACCACGCGGCCCAGTGAGAGCGGAGCAGGCTGCGCTCCTTTTCCGCGGTCTGTGGCGGATTCCGCGGGGCGGTGGCCAAGTGGAGTAGTTGCAACAAAGACCGTGTGGCCCACAGAGCCTAGAAGAGTCCACTCTTACAGAAAATAGGGAGGGCTTGACGCCCGCGTAGTCCCTCGAAGGACCCTGTGGACAGAGGCTGTGGCCGGGCTCCTGGCCTTGGTCTGCGTGCTCAGGTGGATGTGAGCGACCGTGAGAACAGGAAAGACCAGTTACGGGACTGAACGCCAGGCCTCGCGGGGAGTCGACTGCCACTCACTGGGTCCAGAGCGGGAACCACAGGAGCCGGGAGGGAGAGTCCCTTCTCTGTTACGCTGAGCTAGCAGACGCTGCTTTGCTCGAGAGCCGTCTCCCCCACTGCATCTCTGGGGGGCTCTAGATCACCCATTCACACTTCACTGTTCCTTGGGGTCGGGACTGTGCCCGAGCGCTGCTCTTGGGGTGGAGGAGGAGTCCTCACCTCCTTATCCGCGGGCCGTTGTTATCACTGGAGCACCCCGAGTTGAGGAGGGAATGGGAGACTTCACGGTCCTTGAACACCGTTTCTCACAGGGCGGGGCTGGAGTTCATGTTCATTTTCATGAGTAGCCCTCCCCAGCATGCTGTCTGCCGTGTCTGCTTGCTCTCTCCGGCCCCTGCATGTAGCCGGCCCACACCGCCCTGCGAGGGGCCCCTTGACGCTTCTGTTCCTCGCCTGGTGATGCTTGGGGTTGCAGAGGCTGGCAAGCTTGGCTTTGTCTTTTCATCTCCAGCACGATAGTTCTGGTGGAGACCAGGAGAGCTTGAGGGGTATAAGACAGTCCTGATTCCAGCTGAGCCCAGGAGTCCTCCCTGGAATCATCAGTGTGAAAAATAACACGCATATTATTGTCGAACCACTAAAACCACAAGACAGTGGACTGTGCTTTCTTCTTTGCCTGTCAAATTCTTACAACCAAACTCTGCCTGTTTCTAGTTCCTTTCCTGGCACTTGGGGTCCCAGTCAAGTTGCAAGCTAGTTAATAAACACTGCGAGTCCCTGTCTTTATTAATTCAGCTGACGTACAGTGTCTAGAGCCCCAATCTTTAGTGGACCCGTGATTCGGCATCACCCAGAAGCCTCAGTTTACAAGTTTCTGGGGCATGGCCCTTAGGAAGCAGGGCTGAAACAAGGGGGCCCAAATTCATTCCTCCACGTGCTTAGTTGGGCATCTCCATCCTTGGACCTACTCACAGGTGAGGCGTATAGATCCAGAGGTGGCTGCTGCGTAAGAAGGACCCGCTTTGTCACTGTCTCCCTGCCCCCTCCTGCTTTCCCCTGGGCCTGGGGCTCCCAGGCGTCTCTGGCATTGCCTCTGCCTGGCTGGGGGTGTCCCTGGGTTCCCACCACAGCTTCTCTGGGAGAGCTAGTGAAGCTGGTGAGATTGGGTGAGATTTCCTAGTTTGGCAGGAAAAAGACAAAGCTCCACCTTCATCTCCCCTCCTTATTCACT